GCGCTGGAGTGCCCGAGGATGTCTGTTTTGCTTGTCTTTGAGCCTGAACCTTTTCTTTGGCATCTTGATTTTGGTCTGCTTTCCTCTGCCAGCTCCTGATGATGTCATTTCTGGTCAATGCCCACGTTGGGCCCAGACTGACTCAAGACTGAATCCTGGCCTGGTCTCCTCTCTTGGCGCCCTCCCTCCCCTCTCTGTAGCCAGTCTTACGTTGTGCATTGTTGACATCTCGGTGAAACGAATCTTTTTTTAATTAAAAAAGACAGAGGATGACGGCCATTGCTTCTTGTGGCATTTGTATTACTATTGGTGTGCATCGTTTTACCCCGGAAAACAAAAACTTCCAGACTCTGAATTTAAAAGTCAGGGGTGCTTGGGGCACCCGGGCGGCTCAGTTGGTTAAGTGTTCTACACTTGATCTCGGCTCAGGTCGTGATCTCTCGGTGCATGCGCTGACAGTGCAGAGCCTGCTTGGGATTCTCTCCCTCCTCTCTCTCTGTCTCTCGCCCACTCACGCTCTCCCTCTCTCTCTCAAAATAAATAAGTAAATGTTAAAAAAAGTTAGGGGGGCTTAGTGTATGGTCAAGATTCCTTTATTAACAAAAGAACCCATCTTTTGTTTACAGAACTTCAATGATTTTATAAGCCATAGGTTAGGGACACGGACAGCTAAAATTTTACAAGGGGACATGGAGACGATGTGGTTGCATATGGAAGAACATTCTTTGCTACAACGATCACACTTGCACCCCCACATTTTGAAGACCCTAAAGGGGGGGCACCTTGATTCTCAGTGCTTTCTTTCTTCCCCTTTTTCTTTGTTTCTAGACATTGTCTGGGTGAGCCTCACATGGGCATCACAAGGTTGCACCCAGAGAGAGCGTGGCTCTGCAAGGAAAAAGGCCCGGGAACGTTGTTTTTTTATTGATTTTATTTCTCCAAGAGTTTTCTTACTAAGTGAATTAACCTTGCACAGTTAACTTGATGTCATCTTAAGAAAATATATGAAATATGCTTTAGAAAAAAATTACACATGCTCTAACCAGCCATCTCATTTGGCAATCATTTTCCCCAGCGTCTGTCCTTGCGGGATGGGGAGGTGGGGTTCTTTTTACATGTGAGTGATTAAATCTACACACAAGAGCTCCAAACTCTTGCTGACCTCCCTCTGCGACACCAGCTGGTGTTGGGAGGCAGCGTACGAGGCAGGCCGAGGTCTCTCTCGAAGGCTCCAGTCGCCCCAGGCTGTTTGGCCATCAGTCCCCGGAGGGTCACCCCAGAAGATCTGGGCGGTCCACGTACATAAACTTAGCAGCTCCTCCCATAATGACAGCAATTGTGGAACACATCAGAAGGGCTCCGATGTATCCCATGGAGAAAGAGGGATTGTTTTTCTGTCCCTGTTTGCAGACAGCATCCTTTGAAGGCACAGGATACTTCCGCTCCAAGGATCCACATTTCTAGGTCCTCACTCACTGGCCCTAGAGTGATCTCTTCATCCTCAGAACACAGGGGACACTTTCCAGCCCTCGAGTCAATAATGTGAGCGTCTGGGTAGGTTTTCAATCCAAAAACTGTGGATTGAAAAGGAGTAGCTAGCTGCTCAGCAGTCCCAGCCGCATCCCTGAATGGACTCTGAAGAAGTGTTGTCCTGGGTCCGTTCTCAGCCACCCAGTCAAGTCAGCGCGAACGGGCTGGTGCGGGGACCGCTTACACCAGCCTGTTTTTCTGACAGTTTTCTGACAGTCATAAACTTGGCCACTCAGACAACAGATTTGGGAGACGAGGACTGAGTTTCTGTCCTCAACCCTCCTCACACTGACTCTCCCTGGGGTTTGGGGGCAACTGAAGGCCCCCATATCCTCAGATATGGAACCCGGAAAGGAAGGGTGGTCCAGGGGGTGCGTGTGTCCTAGTCGTTTCCTTTCTTTTGGAACATTTGCTTTCACAGGTCACTAGTTGGTCCCAGGGCTCCTTTCCCAGCAGATCAGGTGGTGTCCAGACCTGGAGAGGAGGTCTGGCTGGTGTAGGAGGAAGGTGGGACAGGAGGTGTGGGCAGCAGCCGAGACACCCTGAGCGACGGTGTGCCCAGAGCTGTTCCCCAGATTCGCTCGGGTTCAGTCCAGTCAGGCTGCTGTAGGATTCCGCAAGAAATGTGGGAAGCCAAGGGCTTGGGGCAGAGCAAAACTGGATAGAACTTTCTGGGAAACTTCAAGGCTTCCAGGAATGCTGGACAGCTTCAGGTTTAAGAGTCACTGCAAGACGTGGAGAGGTGGCCCTGCGGTGGGTGGGAGAAGGTGAAGGTGGGGTTGGGGTGAGGGTAGTTGGGGAGGGGGCTCAGTCCTCAGTCTTTTGTTCCTCCACGGAGACTCTCACTCTGAGCTTGGAGAGGCGGCAGAGTCCCCATCCTCTGGGTCCTGCCCACTGGGGGAGATAGGCTGACCCCCTTTCACACGTTTCCACTTCATCCTTCGGTTCTGGAACCACACTTTGACCTGGCGGAGGAAGCAAAGGAACCTGGTCACTTCAAGGCAGGTGCCACTACCTCCCCGTATGGATGCTCGAGCCAGCAGGTCGTAGTTCCAGGGACCCCCAACTTGAACCTCTGCTTGCCCTGCCCCACTCCTCCAGAGGCACCAGGAACTGACACGACAGGGAGGACACATCAATCTGTCCAGAGGCCTGTCTTGTGTCTCTTGACAAAGAAAGCCTGACAGTCTGGGGACAGGGTCTAAAAGGCACTGGGCATTGGCCCCACCCCCTTTCACATGCCCCGCCCCTCCTGTGGCAACACGCCTCCTTCCGGCTTCTGTTACCCAAGGGTCTGGGAGCAGAGGATTACCACCCTCCTCCCCAGGGACATTTACGAAGCACTAGTCAGTTTAGATAGCTCCGGGCTGCTTACTCCCTCATCTGAGTTTCAGCACTGCCTGCAGGGTGTGGTCACGACCCTGTTTTACAGATGGAGACCTGGAGAGGTTAGGAGACACATCCCAGAGGTCACAGGGCTAGAAAGTGGTAGAGACAGGACCTGATCTTAGTTTTCTAAACCTAGCACTCCAGCAGAGCCCTTCATCAACTGAAAGTTGCTATCAAATATTATTATAAGACTTTACGCCATGTTAAGAGTACGGGTGTGGCTGGAATGCTCTGAGGGAAAGCCCGGAATGAAAGGCCTAGGAAGTTTTTTTTAGGGTGTGCCCAGGAACCAGCTAAAGAACTTATTAGAAATGCAGATTCCTGGCCCCACTTTATTATTACTGCAAAATGGCTCTCCAGCGTTATAAAATCTGCCTTTTTTTTTTTTT